AAAAAAAAAAAAAAAAAACAGCTAACTAATTTGTGATGCTACAAAAAGCTGCTATTCGGGTTTCTCAATCTGATTACTCATCACTGCAATCTTTTAATGCTGTTTATTATGTTATACCATTGAACTGACATTTTTTTTTTCTGATCGCTTAGTGTTCGGTTATTTATTGATCACTTAATATCTGCTTAACTATTCAAATTGATGCTGATGTTTGTTGGGGTGTTGTTGCTGTTGTTGTTGACAAACTAAATAAAATATTTTGGTTGTATAAGAGAAGAAAGCTACAGCTAATGAAAGCTTTTACTGCATTTACTACTGACTCCTAAATATCTTTTTTTAGAATGGTAGGCATTGGCCTGGATAATCCAAACGACGAAGAAAGTCAAGTGATAAAATGTGTTCTTGTTGGTGATGCTGCTGTTGGTAAAACATCGCTAATTGTCTCCTATACAACTAATGGATATCCACATAAATATGTTCCCACAGCATTTGATAATTATTCAGGTATTATTACTGTTGTTTAAATGACAAAAAAAAAAAAAAAATTTTAGTCTCTTTTTTTTTCTACTTCTCTCTTCTCGTTCCCTTCTAAAAAAAAAAAAGAAAAACATTTAGTTGAAAAGTAAATATAAACGGAAAGACTAAGTTAGTATCTGTTATAACGATGAACAAATACTTCACTGTTTTCTTCTTTTTTCCATTTGCTATAACTGGTTCAATTTGAGAAGAGTGAAGAGCTGCAAAAAAAAAAAAGGAAAAGAAAAGAAAACTAAATAAATGCTGTATATTGTTGAAGTTCAATTGAATTGGATGAATGGGTTGATGGATGGAAGAATGATTTATTCAGGAATAATTTAACATTTAATAAATGCTCTGCTATAAAAAATTTTTTTAAAAAACAAAAGAAAGGATTCTTTTTTTTGTTTCTTAGCAAATACTATTTGTTAGCAGTAACTATTAAGCATAAGATTAATATTGTAGAAAAGAAAAAAAAAACGAATTTTCTTTCTCATTTCTCGTTTTTTTTTTACTTGGCATAACTGACGTTAAATGTAGAAAAAAAAAAATGAAGGAAGGAAAAATGTTTATTATTTGAACAAAATTGTAGAAAAAAATGTTGATGCATTTTTTCAGTGTTAGTCCGAGTTGATAATCAACCGATACGATTACAGTTATGTGATACTGCTGGTCAGGTAAAAATCTTTAAACTTTTATTTTTTTTTTTTTATCTTAAACTTTTACTTATAACAAAAATTTTATTCATTTCTAATTTACATTATACTTTATTTTTTTTACTTATCAAAGAATTACTGCGGCAAAAAAAAATTCCACTTAAAGTTGGCAAAAAGAAATGATGAAAAAAATTTAGTGGTAAGACTTTTGTATAGATATCGTTAAGATGGATTCAGTTATTGATGATAGGCAATGGAACAGTACAATAAGTTTTTATATAATTGATATGTATGGTAGAGGAAAGTTAAAACTGGCTTAAAAACTGGTAATTATCTAGATTTTTACTAATGATAACAGTACTCTTACAACTCCTCAAAAAAAAAAGAAATTTTTTTCAAGACAAAAAAATTTGGTGTTATTTGTCTTACTTTGCTTTTCCCACTTTTTTTTTTTCAGTTCTTTTTTTCGTGGTTGTTAAAAATTTTCAAAAGCATTTTTTTAGTTGAAAATAAACTGGAGAATAGAGTCCTTTTTTTACAAAAACATTTTGTATATTTGTTTAGAGGTAGTTTTAAGTTTGAATAAAGGAAAAAAAAAACAAGAGTGGAAGAAGGATACGGAGGGAGAGCCGGGAGGAAGGCTGGGGGAGGGGGGGGAGGGGGAGGGTAGGGTAGCAAATTTTAATGCAAATAAAATATTGTCACATGAATTTTGTTGCTGATTTTGAATTGAATGAAAAAAAAAAGGAAAAAAAAAGGTGAAAAGGAAAAACACGGGAAAGAAAAATTGACAAAAAACACAGATGAAAAGGAGCATATGGAAAAGTGGAAATAGCAAAAAAAAA